GGTAAAGGTGAGGAATAGCTGAATTATATTTTCTTGGACTGTCCTTCAGTTAACACATAATGAACACATACCGTGTACCTAGTTCTTCAGTAGTTGCTGTTTGGTGTAAAAGAAGTCTCCTCCACTCTGTGTTAGGGACAGCGTAGTTGGGAAGAGAATGTGGACCTGTATGGAGGGGTGAGTACTAGAGCCATGCCAGCGAGTATTGTATCCAGTATACTAGTTTTTATTTTTATTAGTACGTGCAGTGCATAATGATTGCATTCATCGTGGAGAATTGATACTTGGATGTGACACACCTTTTTATCCCCTTCCCCTTAACCCTCTTTTTTTGCATCAGATTCATTTATTTTCTAAATCCGTATGAAGTTAATTATAATACAGATTAACAAACAGATTTTTTTTTTTTTTTTTTTTTTTTTTTGCAGAACTGGGGATTGAACTCAGGCCCTTACGCTTGCCAGGCAAGCGCTGATTCTACTGAGCCATCTCCCCGGCCTCAACAAACAGATTAACAGGCCTACCAAATCAAGGTGCACTTTTAGCTATACTACTATATTGTCTTATACAGACATTGAAGCTGAGGATGATGAATTATCCTCAATTGTGTGGTATAGGCAGTAAATCCAAAAGGATTTAATGAAGGAACAGATCAATGGTTAGTGTCTCTCTCTCTCTCTCTCTCTCTTTTTTTTTTTTTGACTGGCTTAGCCTACCCTGGTGGTGGGGCTGGTGTGGCATGTGGTACGGGGATCAAGAGGATCGAACCTTGGTCCCTGCGCCTGCCTAAGCTTGCGTAAGCAGGCTCTTTAGACCGCTGAGCTATCTTGCTGGCCCAGTGGTTAGTGTTATAAAAACAGACTTATTAGTATTAGGGGTAGTATTGGGAGAGAAGTGTTGAGCCAGGGCTTCACTATGCCATCAGGCTGGCCTTGAATTTGCAGTGATCCTCCTGCCTCAGATTCCGGAGTGCTGGGATTACAAGTGTGCACCACTGGGCCTGGTTTAGAAGAAGGACGTAATATTAAGTAGGGTGGAAGAAAGTCAAGAAAGGGAGATGCCTGGAGACAGTGGTGGGTACAGTGCCCCCTGTGCAGTCGGTGAGTGGCTCTGTGTGAGAGGCAACTTGGGCAAGTCTGAGGAGGTATTTGTGAGGGAAGAGCGGGGTTTGAGTGCACGGAAAGCCTAGCAGCTCCAGGGTGGGTGTGTCTAGTGATTTGTGGGAGTTTTGAAGGGTGGAGGCCAATGTAAGGGAAGTAGTTTTTTTAAAGTTTTTATTTTTGACACTGAAGATTAAACCTGGGGTGGTGCACCACAGAGCTTCAGTCTTCAGCCTGATTTTTTTTTTTTTTTATTTTGGCAGAACTGGGGATTGAACTCAGACCCTTGCGCTTGCCAGGCAAGCGCTTATTCTACTGAGCCATCTCCCCAGTCCCTTTTAAAAGGCAGAAAGCACCGGTAACTGTCACGATCATTATGCATGTCCACAACACATTAGAACTTTGTGCAATATCCTATCCTCAAACTGTTAGAAGT